CGTTGATACCATTCGCTAAAGCACTTGCATTTGGCACGGATTTCGATCGCATTAACTTGTCTAAGTAAAAAAAACCAAGATTTAGAATAATTTCAACATGATGACTAACATATACAAACCTTTTTCGGTGATGATACTCGCATAATTGGCAGGGAACCATCCTGTTTTACCGTTAATTGTCCCTTCCCACCACCCTCCTTCGATTTGCTGGGTGATGGTTATCATGTCGTTCTTCGAGAAGGACAGCTAAAAAACGGAAATTTGAGACGAACTGAGAAAACCATCCAGTGTTGGTAAAGCGCTACCCAAAAAACCAAAGCAAATGCAAACATTTCTTACTTCGTCATTGTTTTTGCCCTCAAAACTGAACTTTGCCTTGGCCACAATCACTGATGGCTCGGCCATCTGACTATCCAACCTGGTTTCAGCCATTACCGCAGCCTAATATGAGACGATGATCATGGAAACTACCGGTATCACGTAAGAAAAACAATGTTCATTGCCGTGGCACAAAAAAAAACGGAAACGGAGTCTAGCGTGTAACATGCCGCTTCGGTACAGGTTGCAGACACAACAGCATAAAATTCGGCAGTTATGTCGTGTGGTCTTCTTTTCACAATGTATCTTGTCCAAAGTTTTATATAAATCAGTTGATGTTACTAATTCGGGGAACCAGTAGGCTCAGTGTTTTCGTTGCTAACGCATTTGGGGGAGGGGAGCACGCGGCAGGTTCTCCGGTGGGGGTTTTTTGAGGTAGCATTGTCATTTCAGGTGTAGGGCATGAATTTAACAACGTCATAGTGTGCTAATCCAATAAGATGAGGCATTTCAAGAGGGAAGTGCGACGAAGGGGGTGGTGTATGAAAAGGGGCAGTTCGGTAACGGGGTGGGGGGAGGGCATTTTGCACTTTTGCTTGGCATAACACCACCTATCTAGAGAGCCTTTTCTCTAGTTGAGGTTTTCCCCATGGTGGGTCGACGAGCTTGCTTCTAGCTTCAATAGTTCACAGGTTCCACTAGAGTGAGACTTATAAATCGAAACTAGTGAAGCAGCGAAAGTGCCAAATTCCCCCTCCCCCCTAACCTCTCTCGTGGAACTGCGCCGATGAGGTTATTTGCCTGTACCTACGAGGGAATGGGTGAAGCGCCGGTTCTGTATGTGATACACCAGCCATTGGATGTCTCCGGCAGAACGGCTAAAAGTTACTGCCGCTAACCCTTTACCATACCCCACGTTACTCCTTACTAGGCACCTTATCAAAATTAAACGGCAAGACTAGCAACAAAAACCATGCTTTTCGACAAACTTTCCAGTAGATGGATGCGCTTCCTTTCTATACAAAACTCAATTTCTTGCTTGAATAAGCCGGGGATCTTTTAAAGGCTGTGTTCCCGGCGAGGAGTGAGCAGAATAGCAGACAAAGGTGCTATACTACTTCTGCTTTTTGTGCGGATTGATTTTTTTTGGCACTCATTCCCCTCCCGTTACCTAAATAAATCGTAAGGCATTGTTCTGTCAACCGCTCATTACTTGAAAACATGCACTCCTTATCCCTAAGACAGAGTAGGCGTGGCATTTGAACAGGGCACAGAATGAGTTACTCGTAGGACATTTCAGCTTGAGACAAATTATCATCTTGTTCTGTGCTGGACACCAGAGACATGACCACATTTGTGTCAAAATGAATCCTTCCAAATTACAGCCACCGCCTTGTTTAGTTGAAGTACGCGGCCACGCCCACCACACTTCAGAGATTTCGTGTGTATGGTCCCGAAAAGTTCATTCACTCATTTGCCCTTCTTTTATTTACAATTTACATATGTCTTGATATCCCAAACAACCGGTGTTTAAACGGTCTCCAATAAATTGCATACTCCGATTTCTCGTTTATTTATCGATCGATTGAGCGATTAGATTACAGTGACGACTCGTTCCGCAATATTGTCGGCATTCCTATTCGAGACTCACATTTTGATCAGTACCCACATGGATTACCTCCATTTACCAAGGCAAGTTTGATGACTTTTTTTGCTGCGAGTGACGATGAATCTGCTATTTAGTACCTCATGGGACTGGTCCAGCCAGATAAGGGCATTTTGGTGCAAAACTCTTGTCTTACTGTTCCCTTGAAAACAGCCCATTTTCCAGATGAGATTATTAGAAAATGCCGGCTTCGGAGCCCTTGTTCTACTTGGAATTGAAGAGGGCCGCCGTACATGTGTTAATGGATTGCCGGTTATACCATCAAGTATTCGAATGCTTGGACGATTCGAAACGATGAAATGTATTGAACATCCAGCTTTGTGTGCTTATATCGAACTCGTTCGGTGTACCCTTGGTATGTTCTACGGCAATACAGGAGGGGAACGTTCCATATGGTGTTATAACTTGTTGGGCTAGTTTGAGCTATGATCCAGGCTAAACTGTACTTGCGTTAACGCATGAAGCTTGGGTGGTTTCTTTGAGGGGGGACAGAGGCTGCGTTCACGCTTCGCGATGACGCGCGACGACGCGCTACGCGGTTGACAGGTTCGCGCCCAGTGCTACGGCATACCGTTTTTCTTTCTTTTTTTGTGCCCAGCAATAGATACGATATCTGTCGACGCCTCTTCACTTCCACTAGCGTAATTGGGGGAGTTATTGTCGGACCTCAATCAAATTTCCAATGTAATCCATCGGCCGTACATTTTCCGATCTGCCACAGCGGAAAGTGTGGCTAATGCCGTTTGGACTCCAGAAATTTCGTCTTCGAGCTCATTTTAAAAGTGGCAAGATCACCAAATCCGCTAAAAACTTGTATATAGGGGTAATTCAACATCCTGATCACGAATATGACATTCATTTTTGGCGCTGGCGCTAATGGATGACACTACGGTTACCTGCGCTCTGCTAAGGCTGAGCCCAGGAGGTAATCGTAGTGTCCTCTCTTGGCGCCAGCGCCAAGAATGAGTGTCATACTCGTAATCAGGATGTTGAATTACCCCTATATACAAGTTTTTAGTGGATTTGGTGACTTAGGCAATTTGAAAATGAGCTCGAAGACGAAATTTCTGGAGTCCAAACGGCATTAGCCGCAAAGTATGAGCACGGCCTGAGGACAAAATTTCGTCCTTCGAATATTTTCCCACTCGATACTCAGCTATGAAAGGGGTATTCTGTGTGGGTCAAACACCAGTAATAGACTACATGTCTTGTTGCAAGGTGCGCTTGTGGTCAAGGATCACATTAAACTTCATTGAGCTCATTGATTTCTGAGTTGTGTACTTTCAGTTCCAAATGCCGTTATATTGATCTCTGAACATCATGATCTTTCGCTTTCATCTTTGCTGTCCACTAGGAGGTAAATTTTATATTGAGATGTAGTTGTCACAAGAGAACAGGTGGCTATAAACTGGGATGGTTCCTTTTGTTTTGCTTTTGTTCCTAGCTTCTACGGAATAATACTACTACTTGATATTGTGCAATGCTGTGAAAGTAACCGCTTCTCGTACCTTGCACATATGTCAACTTTTCGTTTTTTTTTTCGGAAGAGAGGCAGACGGAACGCAAAGGGCTTAAAGACTGTGAGAGGTTAGACCGCATCCAGACTTCGCGATCGGATCGCGCGACCACGACCGTGGGGCTCCTTCGTTCAAGCGATGAACCGCCGCAACGGCAGAATTCAAATTGAGCTGCGTTCACATAGTGCCGGTCTGAATTGTGCCGTTGCGCGGTGCAGCGACCCCGGTCGTGGTCGCGCGATACAATCGTTCTAGCACTCCTATCGCAAAGTCTGAACGCGGTCTTAGGCGTGATGAAATGTCTAACACGCTCTCTTCTTTAAGACACTTCGTCAACCCTTTTGCTTTAGGCGCTTCTCATTGGACTCGATCGCTTTAGCGGTCCTTTTAGTGAACTTAGCCGTATGGGGCATATATTTCGGAGTCCTATAATGTTTCGACCTTAATTATCCGTATCCAGTAGTCGCTTTGCCCTCGAAATCTCACTTAGTGCACTTGTACTGTGAGGTAGCGTTCAGACTTCGCGACGGCAGCGCTTCGGTCACGCGTTCGCGCGATCGATGCGCATGCTTTCGACTGCATCGATCGCGTCGAACGCGCGACCGAAGCGCTGCCGTCGCGAAGTCTGAACGCTGCCTAAGTGAGATTGAGGAGTGAGTGAATGAGTTGCTGTCGACGTGTCATTCAAATAATACTGCTTTCCTGTCCATGTACTGATTATAGCCTGTAGCCGCGCACTGTCAGGCGGATGGGGCGGCGCCACGCGTTTTCCGCCAGTTGATGAAGCGGGTAAGCGGAAAGGCTGTAGCCTGTCGTCCGTGTCAGTCGTTTACCACAACTGTTTCGCTCACTCGCTTTAGCAGCTACGGAAGGGCCGCTCCCGCCAAACCCATCGCGTCTGATATGCCCTA